TATATATATATATATATATATATAAATTTTATATATATATATATATATATAATACATATATATATATATATATATATATATATATATATATATATATATATATATATATATATATATATATATAATATATATATATATATATATATATATATTTATATATATATATATATATATATATATATACATATATATAAATTATATATATATATATATATACATATATATATTTATAAATATATATGTATACATATATATATATATATATATATATATATATATATATATATATATATATATATATATATATATATATATATATATATATATATATATATATGTATACATATATATTTATAAATATATATATGTATATATATATATATATATAATTTATATATATATATATATATATATATATATATATATATATATATATATATATATATATATATATTATATATATATACATATATATATATATATATATATATATATATATATATATATATATATATATATATATATATATATATATATATATATATATATATATATGTATATATATATATATATATATATATTTATATATATATATATTAATTTGATTTAAATTTCTTTACGTAAAGAAAGCGTGAATTAAACTAAACTTCTATTTAAGCTGATCATTGGCAGCAGCTAAGTTAGAGTATAGAATTAAAAAGAAAGTTCAATTTTTGGTATGAGTCATTGAAGAGTTACATGTGTGGTTGTACGAAAAAACATTAAAGCTCAAGTAACTCATAAACCACTCAAGATTTTTTTTTCTATTTTCTCTGGTTCCCTACTAAATGAACGTATTGCAAGATAATTATACCCTTCTAAATGAATGTGTGGCAATTTAAATTACAACATGCGATTTTGATAGAAACATGTCAGAAAAATGAGAATAGAATATTGAAATTTTATCCTCTAGAAACTGTACTTTAAATGAATTACCTGTTATATATATATATATATATATATATATATATATATATATATATATATATATATATATATATATATATATATATATTATATATATATATATATATATATATATATATACTGTAAAGATTTTGTGTTAAAAATCCTCTGATTTTTGACACAAAATCTTTACAGCTTATGTCAAACAGCTCATTTGACATGTCAATAAAGTCCTTTTGTAGATCATTTAGATTTTGACTAGCACTGAATAGTAACCTGAAATTAAAAAAATTAATGATGGGAAAAAAATTTGTTTAAAATTGTTATACGTAATTTTCTTTTAATATTTACATATTTTAACACCAATCTATTATAGGGTGGACCTTCCTAAGTTTCTAAATTAATAATGGAATAATAATGAATGTTTTCCATTCTCTTAATTGCAGATTGTTTCCCCCAAACTTCTCTAAAGATGCTAAAAACTGTTTTAATGTGAAAAGCCAATGGTAACTATTTAAACCATAAAAATGTAAAATATTTATCTAAAATAGTTTAAATGATGCTTATAGTAAATGAATTACTTCTTACTTTTTATATTTGATCTGCTTTCTCCATTTTTTGTTTTCAATCTTGTCCCTTATTCCTTATCCTCTATCAGAAAGTCATCGTGAAAACCCGCTCTGTCCCAGACATTTACTACTACTTTGACAAGACACTCTATAGTTGTACCCCTACAGTCTGTATCAGGAACTTGACATGTAAACTGGTTGGAACTTGTCTGCATAGGGTAACAAATACTAGACTTAGTTGACGTAAAACTCAGCTGCTTTGAGGGTATAGTATTACAGTATCTTCTAAGTATATCTCCATTTGTGGGTAATTGTGACTTGGATAGCTCTTTTATGGGTCTGTCTAAAAGATACAAGAGGTCTCCTTGGATTCTATACTACGCTATATACTTGTTTCAGTATTTCTTCATCAAAATTCCTTTTTTTCCCTTTCCCGTCCCCTCATTTTTTTTTCCTCTTAAAAATAAATAAAAATTACGTTTAGGATATGTTATTGCATATTATTAACTACAATATTTCAGGTTTTTTATGATTTAGAGTTCAACACTTTCATATGTTTCACACGATATACTTTGTACACTTGTTATCGTTAAAATGATATATTTGTATTAAAATTATATATATATATATATATATATATATATATATATATATATATATATATATATATATATATATATATATATATATATATATATATATATATATATATATGTGCCAAAATATAAAACAAGTATATTTAATACCAATAAATTGAAATATATCGCTGCGCAAACGTAAAATATAACATTAAATCAACGTAAAAACCAACATTTCACCAACGTAAAATACAACTTTTTGGAAACGTAAATACAACGTTAAATCAAGATAAAATACTACGCAATGCCAACTTAAAATACAACTTTGGGTCAATGTTGTTTTTTGGTTATTGGTGACGTTGCATTTGTAACCAAAATGATATAAAAACAATGTTCGCGGTCGATGTTGGGCCAACGAAACGCGCAACATTGTTCTAACGTTTTATCAACGTATGTGTGCTAGCTGGGAAGTAACACCTAACCTCAGTTATGTGAGTTTATAATATACTGTTGTAAAGTTTCCATATTTTATATTCAAATTAATAGACAAAAAAATAACAAGAAAAAAATAATAATAATAATAGTTAACTATATCGTATGCATGTAATTAATCAAAAGTTATAAGGAAAACCTAGCAACAAATCGATCTATACAACGGATACATTGAAACTACACCTTTTCAAGATGTAAATGAGAACATGAAAGTTGTAATTAAGAAGTCGTAATATGTAATTAAGAAACACAACATGTAATTGAGAAAACGTTATATGTAATTGAGAAACACAACATGTAAATAAGAAGCCGTAACATGTAATTAAGAAACACAACATGTAATTGAGAAAACGTAAGATATAATTGAGAAATCATAATATGTAATTGAGAAATCGTAACTTGTAATTGAGAACACATAAATTAAAATAGCAAATTCACAGTCTAAGTTTGTAGGTTGTTTCAAAAGGTCTTTTTAAACATGAATTTAAGTTATAATCTTAAATTTTGCTTTTGTATGCACAAGTAATAATAATGGAATTGAAAGATCGTTGTGTTATATGCCAATACACTATGACCCGAAAATCTGTGATTAAGCTAAATCCGTGTCAACATTTATGTCACCAAATTTGTTTACGTCCAGTTCTGGAACAACCAGATTCAAGTTGTCCGATTTGTCGGCATGAAATATACACAACTGAACAAGTTGAAAGGAGACGTTACGTTTTATCTTCTCCAAATGACAGGAGAAGAGTTGTTGAATGTGCGGAGCGATTTGAAGATTGGGTGAATCTCGCGCAAACGCTAGGTATCAAATATAAGACAGCATACAATTGAGTTTTCAGCGGAAATTCAAATTTCGTCGGAAAAGGAGGTTTTAAACCAAAAAAGTTGACCGAAGATCAAATCGAAGAAACATTAACATGGATTGAAAATGATTGTCAATTAACATTGGTGGCCATCAAAACAAAGATATTAAGACAATTTAACATAAACGTTAGCACAACAACAATAGCAAATTACCTCGAAGGCAGATTGTTCTCATTAAAAAAAGTGCACAAGGAGCCTTCTACAATGAACAGTTATGAAAACAAACAAAAAAGAGCTGAATATGTTAGAAACATCAACGAACATATCACAAATGGTCGTCAGATAGTTTGGTTGGATGAAACAAATTTTAACCTTTTTTGTAGAAAAACGCAAAGACGCGCGAGACAAGGAAAAAGAGCAATTATGAAAGTACCTGCTTCAAAAGGTTTAAACATACACTTGATCGCAGCTATTTCAACTACAAATGTCGTCATGATAGAAACTCGCAGGGGATCATTTAAAGCAGATTCCTGTAACGAGTGGATGTTGGCTATGTTTCACCAGTGGGTTACATCCGGGAATCGTTTGGAGGATTTGGTCGTCGTAACAGATAATGCTCCTCGTCACGCTCGTTTGCAAAGGGTGTTTGATAATTCACCAGCTCAGTTGTTACGTTTGGGACCTTACAGTCCAATGTTGAACCCGGTGGAAACGATCTGGTCCAAAATTAAAAGTAACGTTAAAAAAGCAATTCGCATTCCACCTGTATTAGGTGACGGGATTGCGGAACAGCGCATGCAGTACTTAGAACGAATTGTAATTGAGGCGAAAAATACTATAATGGGAGGAGATTGTGCACGTGCGGTACAACACACAACCACGCACTATGCAACTATTTTAAATATGGAAGACGTACAAGTTGGTGCTTAAATGATCAATGAAGTGATTTTTAATTATATAATTTTTAATTATAATTTTTAATTGAATTATAAATTTTTCCCTAAAATGTTTTTAGTGTTTATTATGTTAAATTTATTTGCCCAAAAATTATAAATTTTTCCCTAAATTTTTCCCTAAAAAATTAAATTTACGCTACAAATCTTGCGTCATTTTTAAGTGCGTCATTTTATACGCTCCATTTTTTTACGCGCCATTTTTTTTAAGCGCCTTTTTACACTTACTCCTTTAAAGCGATATCTAAATTAAAATTTTCGTGTTCTCAATTACATCTTTCTATTTCTTAATTACAACTTACATTTTCTCAATTACATGTTACGATTCTTAATTACAATTTTCGTTTTCTAAATTACATCTTATGTTTCTTAATTACAACTTACGTTTTCTCAATTACATCTTACGTTTCTTAATTACAACTTTTGTATATAATACATAGTAAAAAGCAAAAAAATAATTTTTCAAACAATATAATTCAGGCAACAAAAACATACTTTTGACAGAATTACTGATATTTTCTAATTTCATTAGACATGGATAAAAAAAAAAAATAAAATTGGTCTTCACACCAGAAAACAAAGTTTAAATTTTTTACAAGAAGGAAAACGTTTTTTTTAATTTACAGATAGTAAAAAATACTTATTCTTATTTTTAGAAAGCTATAGCCGTGGTATTTATTGGGATCAAGTAAAATCTTGGATATATATTTGCATGAATTTATATGTAACAACGTAATATTTAATTTGTTTACGTCTAAGTAGCGATTTTAATGTTATTTCTAGAAATTTGTTTCAATTAATATTTGCAAAAAATTATATTTAATACTTTTTCGCATAATATATAAACTTTAATCTAACTTTAATATGATTTTATGGTTGTCAAACTTATTATTTAAGCCAGCAGACTGCATGCTATGTGTCAAATAACAATGGCGAAGAATGGTCAAGTAGATTTTTTTTTTCCTTTTGATGATTTGAAAAAAATTAATTTTTTTTACTATTTATAAAATAACTTAAACTGCTATATTAGGCAGGTGTTATTTTATCAAATATTTATTTTTATAGAACTTGATATTCGCGTTGGATCTGTTCTTGGTCATCACTTATTAACAAGAGATTTGTATGTTATACATCGAAATCAAAAAACTTACTTAATGTATCACAAAATATATAAAAAGTGGTTGGCAATTCCTAGCAGCGAGTTTGAAAAAAATGTAATAAAAAATTTAAACTTTTCTGCATGCCTTAAGTTGGATGGATTTTATGAGCAGATTTTAACATTTCAAACTCAACAATGGATGGGTAAAAAACATAACTTTTTGTTTTAATAACATGACTTCCATTTGATTTATTAATGCGTTCAAAAACCTGAGGCGTGCAATTTTAAAATTATTGCAAGAAAATTAATATAATATTAATTTGTTATTAGTTTAAACATATTAGTTTCAATGTTTTAAATTGGCATCATTTAACATAAATATTTTGAACCATTTTTGTAGTCTTATTATCTAAGGGAGCGTTTAGCATTGACTCATATTTTTTTCAATTTCTTATTATATTCTGTATAAAAAGCATATAAAGCATATCTCCATACATTATATAACGTGAGTACTATAGTAATAGGTAAGAAAAAAGTTCTTTTTCGCACATTAAAAACTAATCTAATTATCTAAAAGTTGTAATGTAACAAATCGATTGAAGTTTTCTATATTTTGGATACAATGTTCAAAAACATTTAATTATTTGCATAAACTGTGTACTTAGTTGTGTAACTATATAAGATGTTGTTGTTTTAAAAAATAGTATATAAACGATTAACCGAGAAAAGATATTATAACTATTTCACAGTCAATAAACTTTACTTTATATTAATCAAAAAGACAAAAATCAAAAATCAAAAAAATGTAATCAAAAATGTAAAAGAAAATACAGAAACGAGTGCTTTTAAAATAAAAAGAATTTAAAATTGGAAAAAAAGGTCTTATGAGTTAATTTTTAATATAGAAAAACTAATCGAATGTTTAAACTGAGCAAAAAAAGATACACCAAATTTCGGTAAAAAGAATAATGTACAAAAAAAAAAAAAAAAAAAGACTTTAAATTTTAAAAACTCTCACTTTAGATTATTTTTCTTGTTTGGATATTTTTGCACAAAACCTGACTTGGAAATTTTTAGCTTTGAAGTTTAAAATTTATCTAAATATATTTAGCAACCGTGGCGTTGCGGTTAGAGTTTTGACTTTAGAACTTTAGGTGCGTCGTTTGATTCGTCGTATGACCGTTAAAGTGTCGCAAAAACATTTGGGTTTAATCTATATTTTGGTTATTTGCATAAAAATAACAAGTTTTATCAAAGGTGTAAGTACTAATAAACAGACGTTTTTGTATTTTTTTCTGGTGTTTTTGACGTTAGTAATACATTTCCGCCTCTTTATCGTTAATTTATTTTGAATTTTTAAACAAACAAATATGATTTTTTAATATTTTTACATAAAATCAATATTACAAAAAGTTTATATTTTTAAATATATAATTAAACAGGAGAGGAAGTTGGGGTACATTGGATCGAGGGGCACAGTGAATAATTTGCATTTTATCAAAGACTAGAACTTTGTTGATTTTGATAGTGTAATCATTTTATGTGCTCATATATTAGTCATCTTTATTTATAGTTGTTACCACATAATTTTTGACTACCGATTTTTGGTAAGTATATTTTGTTTTTAGGTAACTAAAGTAAATTTTCTTACCATCCTTAAGTTTGTTATAGAGATCATGGTTAAAATAATTTCAAAAGTTGAATTTTTTTCATTCGGATTATTGATATTTATGCTTCCTTTTTAGTAGTTTAGCTTTTCTTTTAACAACATTCATGTCATTATGAATTACACTTAAACTTAATTTATTATGGTGGGGCATAGTGATTTTTGGGTACAGTGAATAGGTTGATTCACTATGCCCATTTAATGATCTAAAATTTATATTCATGCATTTTTACCTCACAAACTACATGAAAATAAATTATGAATAATAAAATTTTTTTAAATTTTATAATTTTTAAATATTTTTTTAAATTTTGTTATCAATATAATTCTATATTTTTTTCTTCTCAATTTTCAAAATGCCTACTTTTTCGATTTCACACTAATCTAATTAATAAAAGTATGCCAAAAGTATAGTATACAGTGTCTTTACCCCCTCAGCTTCAAAGTTAATTGGCTATATCCCTATTCACTATCATTAATTCACTTCTGTGTTCATTTATTCACTGTGCCCCAGTACTGAGGCACAGTAAATAACATAACACAACTCACTTCAAACCTTTCTGTGTGCCGTTAGGTAATAAATATTTGGGTTTTAGTGATTTATTATCATGACGGACATATATCTCAATCCTTCCGCCTCAAAAAAAATTAAATTCATATTTTAACTCTTGCTCAATTTAAAAAATTAAGAAATTTGATCCCCTGTGGCCTAACTTCCTCTAATATGGAAATAAATAATACAGAAGAACAATCTGTAAAAATAGAAAATATGAAGATGCAAAAAAAAAAGTATAATAAGGTGGAAGGGTTTATTGTATCTTTTAAACAGACCGATTTTAGAGCTTCCCAAGTACTAGTTGCCAATAAATGGTGACATTTTATAAGGAAATTATCATATTATTTCCTCAAAGCAGTTAAGGTATTAGCAAAAAAAATCAAATATTAGTTGATTCATGCAGAGGATCAATTAATATTTGATTTTCATATGAGGTTTTATGTTATTGACACTTATATGGGAGACACGTAAGTCTTTTTGTTAAAGCTCTTTAATTTTTTTATATATGATCAATATTTCAAAAATCTAAGCCCAATGGCCACGCGTAATCCGGAGGATGCCCTAACGTCTGTAAGACGTCCCAAGTACATTTCCCCGACAATGTAAGCCCACTTGGAGACACCATTAAAATGTTTTTTCGTTGCCTGTTTACGTGTTCAAATTTTGAAAAAAAAAATTTGAAAATTTTAAAGTATACAATGAAGATGTTTACTCATTAAACAAATTTTATTTTAACATTTTTAAAAACAATTCTTTCATGCATTGGATTGGACAAGAAGCTGAGGAGTATTTAGAAAGTACTTTTGCACTAAAAACAGTTCCCAAAGAAACAACAAACGATATAAGATTATGTGAGCAAGGTTCTTTCTATTTGGCTAACTAAGTACCAAACTTTTACCTATATCAAACCCCTACTTGTCATAAAGTTAGGTTTATGGAAAATGGGTTATATTTGCTTATGTTTTAACTAATTTATAAGAAATTTATGTCAATGGAGGAGATGCAAACAAAATTGCACCTTTTGTAGCAATAAATTTTATTTTTTATTTTGTCATCTTTGTTTTTTATTAAAATATTTACAATAATTTTTAGTTAAAATGTGACGCGAGCGGGCAGAAGACAGTTCTTATCGTTAAGCCTCGTTGTTTTATTTACATATGGCATTAAACAAATAATAAGCTGCCATAAAAAAAAAATATCTCAGTAAAATAATCTCAGTAAAAAACAATCCCAGTAAAATAATGTGAAATTAAATAAAGAGCATCTTTTTTTTATTTTATTTTTTTTTTACTCAATACTATAAACTTAAAATAAAAAAATTAAAAAAAGTTCAAGATAATTAATGATGTAAAAACTGATATCATTTTTTAACAAATAGAGAATATTTTGGAAACAAAATAGAATTTGAGATACGTAGTTATCAAGTAACTGTTTTTTTATAATACCTTTAAAATTTTGTATTAAAATTGTAGTTTTACTATTAATTAAAAGAAATGAGTTCCTCAAATGTGGCCCTCGGTATGGTATTGAGAATTCGGAATGTTTTCTCAAAATTTTCGATACTTGATATTAAAGCTATGAAATCAAACTTTGCTTGATATTTTTAATCTATAACAAAGAAAAGTTCTTCAAAAATCTTAGGATATGATTTTATTTATCTAAACATAAAGTTCATCAAAAATCTTAGGCAGCATATGATGTTATTTATCTAAACATAAAAGAATACTTTAAGTATATAATTGATAAACATTTCGCACTACAAGTCTTTTAAGCAGTGGATTGGCATTTGTGTTTTTACTAGCATTTAATGTATGGCAGCTTGCTTGTTTATTCTTTTAGTATAAGCATTAGTCTTGAGTGCTTTCCTAGGCAATGTTACAATAACTAATATAGCTAGGAATAAATGAAAAGTAAATTGATTTTAAACAGGTTTTATCCAACATAAAGCTAGTTTTATGCACAATTCCAATAACTTTTAAAACTTTATTTTCTATTAGATTGAAGAGCTATTTCCAACTTATTTGCTTGTCAATAAAAACGCCTATGAATTTTAAATACATATGTTTACCCACAGCTACTGTGTTTTGCCAAAATAGTGGATAAAAAACTTGCTCAGCTGTGCAAAAAATTATTATATTATTAAAAAAAATTATTTAATGTTCAAGAGATTTTAATTTGAAATTTTAGAGATTTCTGGTGGAATAGTTCACCATTTATCAATAAGTAAAATTTTAGTTTTTTCCTATAAATAGTTGTACTTTTATCATAACGAGTGGAAATATATTACAAAGTTTAGGATCATAGTGGGATAATGCTTGATTATCAAAATGATAGCTGCATTTCGTTTTCGTTAATTTTTTTTTTTTTTTTTTCTGACATTGAGTAGTGAATTAAATTGCATAATGACGTTTGTACTTCCAGATTCCAGATTTGTGCATTATTAAAAGGATCTTGAAACATATTCTTTTTCTAATTTTCAGCCAATGCAATTTGTTAAATTTATGGTCGTTTACATGATTTTCTGTTCTAGTTTTAAATACCAGTCGAGCACCTTAAATTTGAACAGGTTACAGTTTTATTAGTAGTGACTTTTCATTTTCCATTTGCAATAATTTAGCTGTGCAAATATTAATGAGGATACTATGGTACACAAATCTATGAGCAATAAGAATTGTTTTATATTGGATATTTTGCTCAATATATTGTAGGAGTTTTTAACAATCTTATTTATTTGTGTTTTTAAAGATAATTTTTTTTGTCAAGTATCACCCCTAAATTAATAAAAATATCGGGTGGACACGGAAAAATCCGGTCAACTTTAAATTGAGATTTCTCTAAAACCACAAATGCTTTTTATTTCTTTTGTTTTTTTAATTGAACGTTACTTCATTATCTTTAACTGTTTACTTTTGTTTACAAATCGATGATTTTCAAAATGTTTCGGAAACAAATTGATGTGAATTTTTTTAAAAATCTATCAACTTCATATCGCTTGATTGCTAAACGTTAAAATGTTCAAAAATCTACAGTTATAGATATTATAAATAAGTTCAAGACTACTCAAAGCTTCGAAAAAAAACTTGGAAATGGAAGAAAAAAAACTTTCCATATATTCAAAAAGGTAAAGTCGATTTTACGTTCAATAGCAAGAAATCCAAACCAGTCACAGCGAGATCTAGCAAGAAAATTCAAGATTTTGCGTTTTTATATCAAAAAAGTACTTAAAAATGCTGGAACTAAAGCATTTCATTAAAAAAATACATCTATGAGAATTTTAAATTGTTAAATTAGAGGAATTCAACGCGCAAAGAAGTTAATTAGAATAATGGCGGGTAAAAGTATGTGTATAATTGAAGACGACAAAACATATTGCAAGGCGAACTTTTCACAACTTTCTGGTCAACAATTTTATTATGAGAACAAAGATAAATCTTTTGATGATGAATTTAAATAAATTCGACGAGAAAATTTTGCATCCAAGTTCCTTGTGTGTCATGCAATTTGTAGCTGTTTTATGCAGTCCTCTTGTTTTGTCACTAAGAAGACCTTGAATACCGATCTCTACATTAAAGATTGCCTCCAAAAAAGACTTTTGCCGTTTATAAAAAAACACAAATACGTATGTCTCTTTTGGCCTGATCTTGCTGCTTCTCACTATTCTGAAAAAACTCTACAGTGTGCAAAGATAATAATGTCAAAATTGTTTCTAAGGATGCGAATCCTCCAAATTGTCTTGAATAGCGCGAGATTGAAGATTTTTGGGCAACAGTTAATGGATTTCTTCATAAGACAGGTGGAGTATTAAAAAATAAAAAAGGTTTTCCAAATAAAGTGAATTAATGTCACCAATAAGCCAATAAGATAAAAAAAGAAAAAATTTGTCAAATGATGGCATCAACCCGCTATAAAATTCGATCTCTTGTCAAACAGCCCATCAAGCCCCTTAAAATTAAGTTGAAACTCTAATTAATGTAAATATATTTAATAATAAAAAAATTGAAATAAAAAGTATTTATGGTTTTAGAGAAATCTCAATTTAAAACTGATTTTTCTGTGTCCACCCGATACCTATAACAATAATATCTTTTTGAATGGTGTCATAATTAATGTTTTTGTTTTCGATTGGTTAATGCATAAGAATGGTTCACTCATTTATTTAGATATATATTCAATATATTTTGGTATAAATAGGACCAGAGCTTTATTAGGAAGAAATGGTTTTATTGTTTGATGATCATCTGAGTATCCAAAAGTTTTTACATTGATTATGTTCAGATGTTTATATGGTGGTCTCATATAGATATAAAAGAGTTTTGGACCCAGGGCTGAACCTTGTGGTTCCATATTTTACATTTTGATTCGTGAAATATGATTTACCAATTTCAACTTTTTGAGTAGGGTTAACTAAATACGATTCGAACCACTTGTGAGCTGAATCAATTATACCTATTTCACTGGTTAATAGTCCAAGTAGATTTTGCTGATCAATGTTGATAGACAGTGTTGAAGGCAGCATTTATATCAAGTAATATTAGTATAGAAGGTGTATGTTTATCAAAGAGTTCAAGCATATCATTGGTAAGTTTAAGTAAAATTGTTTCAGTTGAGTTATGTTTTTTATATCCATATTGATCTTCTAAATGAAGATTGATTGTTACCATGAGCAAATCAAGATGAATGGAAACTACTCTTTCTATTAGCTTGCTAACAAATACTAAATTAGAAACTGGTCCATAGTTTTTAAAGTCTTCAGTATCTATGGCAGAGTCTAACTTTTTTATTATTGGAAGTAATGTAGCACTTTTTATACAGTCTATGCTGCTTAATTCTAGCAAGAGGTTTACTATTTCAATCTATATATATATTTATATATTTCTTAACAACTGCCCATTATAATCTGATGTGTTTTTCTTTGTTTGGACCAGACCTGAGTTTTCTGAGTTTTTCAGTAAAATAATTATATAAGTTGATAGCTAGTTCTTTGTCTGAATCAGCTGGTGGTAGAACATAATCCTAAGATGTAGTTTGTTTACCAATGAGAATAGATTTTTACTTGTAGTGTTTTTATTTAATCGGTTAGAGAAATATGCTTTTTTTATATATAAGCAATTATTGTAATTTTTTTCCTGAAGCATCTATATTCTTTTCTGTCACTTTCATATTTTGTTCCCCTAAACAATTTTTCTGCTTTTCTTTGTTTTTTGACTAAGTTGCAAATATTCTCCATCAAACCAAGGAGCTGTTTTGACTATTTTTATTCTTTTTGTATTCAAAATGGCATATTTTTGCAGAATCTCTTTCATTATTTGGTTATATATGGTTATTTTGTCTTTCATATTTTCAGCTGATGATATTTCTGGTTTATTTCTTAATATTTTGTTGTTAAAGGACAGTATATCGACTTTTTTTAAATTGTTGTATGTGATAGTTTAGTATAACTTTTTTGTTGTTGTTGTTTTACTTTAAAATCGATGAGAAAATAATCATTCAAATCTAAGTCTGTTACAGCGAGCATAACTACTGATATTTTATCTGACTTGTTTATTACTACATCTAGTATGTGTCCCATTTTATGAGTTGGTTCTTTGACATTTTGTGTTAGATTTAGTACATCTAGTATTTTTTTGAAGCTTTTGCTAAATATTTCTTTAGTATCTAAGTGTATGTTTATATCAGCCGCTATAATGTATTTGCAACTTGTTAATACTATCGATTCAATTAAATCCATGAATTCATCCAGAAATGTTATGTGACAAATATTAGTTTATAAATGCAAACTAAAATTAGTTATCTTTTGGCAACCGTAATTTTAACACACACATAATTCCTACCCCGCCACCTTTTTATCTCTTTCTTTTCTTATTTTGTGCCGAAAAATATATCCATAACTTTTTATCATTGCTGTTGTATTATTGTTTTCAGAAGTCATATATGTTTTGATAATAAAAATGTCTAGATTCCAGTCAAGTATATGCTTCATTTCATCTGGAAGTTTATTAGTAAGAGAGCGAACATTTCATAGCATAATATATTATTTACGTAAGTTCTATCATTCTTTTGAACTTGGCATTTAAACGATTAATTTTAAGTGTTTTTTTCAGGTTATTTTGTTCCTTCTTAAATAAAGGACATTTAATATTAAATGCGCAGTGAAAATTATCATTTTATTCATCTAAATCAAAGTTAACACATTTTTTATCCATTGAAGAGCACTGATCAGTTCGATGTTTTTCGCTACATTTAGCACATATCGGTTCTTGTTTCTTGCATTCCTTTGCAAAATGTCTAAACCTTTGACAGTTAAAACAACGCATTACATTGAGTTTGTTATTTGTTCTGCAATAAGTTAATCCATGTGTTACTTTGTTTTTATAACATTGAAAACCTTCTCGTAATGTTTTGATGGTTTATTTATTATCGGTTTGATAGCTTTTATTTTAAAATGATCTTTGATGTTGTTCACCTTGCTAAATTCTTGGATAAAACTGTTTTATGTGTGCAGCATATTAACAACTTCATTTTCATTATATTCCTTAGGTAAACCACTTATAATAATTTTTAGCATGTTTAATCGATATGATTTTATTTTTATTTGATTTTTTGTGTCTTTGAGAGAATTCAATAATTGGTCTTTAGGTTCTTTAGAATTACATACTAGGACAAGATTACCTGATTTATAATAATATAAGTTTTTGAATATTATTAATAATGATTATATTTTCGATTATACCTATATTATCTTTGTTAACATTTTTATCAGATATTTTTCTTATAACTAAGAGAGAGTCTGGCGTTGGAGTTTTCACTGTATTTAACCCTTCTTTGTTGAACCATAACTTATTATTTTCCAATTTAGTGTCATTTGAGCATTTTTTTAACAGTTGCTGTATTTCATTGAGTTCAATTTTTAATTTCTGTAGTATATCTTTAAGTTCGCTATCAATTATAATTTTATAGTTTTAAAAAAATGCCTTGTTTTTAGGAAACGATAAAGGATTATATTTTCGTAAATTTGCAAACGATACGTGGATACAACGAATTCAATGGAAAGGATTATTATGAACATAATAAATATTAAAAAATAGAGTTTTGTTGACAAAAGACAAAATTATAAAATTAGTTTTTCACCGTTTTATATTATTGCTTATCGACACAAATCGTATTGGATTTAAAATTTTGTAAAACTTTGTTCTTTTTTACTAAAAATTAGATAAGTAAAAGTTTTATTTTTGTGTAATTATCTGTTCAAAATTCTAGATAATAATATAAACTAAATCAATAATTTCAATATAACTATTTAGTTATATTGATTATATATAAAACTTATATATAATATTAAAACCTCTATATTATATTAAACTTCTTTCTTCATTCAGAATCTAGAAATATTATTAAACATTTTTCTTTTTTTACAGTGTAAGTTATTTCACTAAAAAGTTACGCATTATCTGCAATAACCCGGTGGGAAATGAGCTAGCGACTAGCAAGCGACTAGCTAGCTTTATAGCGATTTTCAAGCGATTTTTTTTTTCTTATTTTATTCTTTACTAATGTCTCTAACATCTTTAAAAATTCGATTTTTAGTGTTGAATCTATTTTAATTATAAGTATAATTGAACTTTAAACATTGCGATTTTGTAGCAATGTGTCGCTAGCTACATATAGAAGCTTTTACAAATCTATAGCTTTATCTACAAATCTATAGCTGGTTGATAGCTACATACCAAAAATTTTTTGATAGCGATTTTATTACGATATGACGGTAGCAACAATAGCCTGTGAGTCTTTAGCTTATTAAGCTAGCTGTCCTCGTAGCCAAATCGCTGTCTTTGTCTTTACAAATATCGATAGCTTTTTGCTAACTTTAAAAAGCTAGCGATCCTCGTGGCCAAATCGCTGTCTTTATCGTAACGAATATAGCTAGCTATTCGCTAGCCGACTTCTCACCGGGAAGTTTAGTTATTTATTAAACAGTCATTTTATTTTTGAAATTATTTAGTGATAAATCTCCTATTAGGCCTATTGTGTCGCAATAAATTTTATGCAACAGAAAAACAAGCTTTGTAGTATTCTATTGTAAATCAGTTTGTTTTATACCAAGTAGTTATTCTAGTAGTAGTACTTATAGTAGTAGTAGTAGTAGTAGTAGTAGTAGTAGTAGTAGTAGTAGTAGTAGTAGTAGTAGTAGTAGTAGTAGTAGTAGTAGTAGTAGTAGTAGTAGTAGTAGTAGTAGTAGTAGTAGTAGTATGTAGTAGTAGTAGTAGTAGTAGTAGTAGTAGTAGTAGTAGTAGTAGTAGTAGTAGTAGTAGTAGTAGTAGTAGTAGTAGTAGTAGTAGTAGTAGTAGTAGTAGTAGTAGTAGTAGTAGTAGTAGTAGTAGTAGTAGTAGTAGTAGTAGTAGTAGTAGTAGTAGTAGTAGTAGTAGTAGTAGTAGTAGTAGTAGTAGTAGTAGTAGTAGTAGTAGTAGTAGTAGTAGTAGTAGTAGTAGTAGTAGTAGTAGTAGTTGTAGTAGTAGCATAATTGAAGAAGAACTACATTAAAAATAATATTATAACGATATTAATATTAAAAAGGTCTAAGTAACTCTTGCTTTTTTTATTTTGAAAATTAGACAATGTTGGATAAAAGTCTTTGCAAAGTTTTTATATATTTTATATATTTATATGTGTGTGTGTATACATACATATATATATATATATACATATATATATATATATATATATATATATATATATATATATATATAAATATATATATATATATATATATATATATATATATATATATATATATATATATATATATATATATATATATGTGTGTGTGTGTGTGTGTGTATACATACATATATATATATATATATATATATATATATATATGTGTGTGTGTGTGTATACATACATATATATATATATATATATATATATATATATATATATATATATATATATATATATATATATATATATATTTATATTTATATTTATATTTATTTATTTGAAAACAACAGAAGGACCCGAAGGCCATTAACACTGAGTATACATTAACAATTGATACAATTTAACATTTTTACTGAAATGTTAAATTGTATCAAGTGCTCGACAAGTTACAAAAAATTAGAAAAGAAACACTTTGTGCTGTTTAAACTACAATGGTGTTTGTACAGTTACGACCGCGATTATTCAAGTAAGAATTGAAAATAAAAATGTTTGATAGGTCAGTGTTCAGTTTACCGTTAAGAATTTTGTAGCATAAAACTAAATCTTTAAACACTTGTTGATATTCTAACGTGTTAAGCTTTAGTATGGCTAGACGCTTATCATAGGAAACTGACCACAGACCAGCAATTCTTTTAGTGAAGAAACGCTGCACTTTCTCAACTTTGTTAATTAGGCATATAGTGTAAGGTGACCATACTGAAGAGCAATATTCAAGCATAGGTTGTACATAAGTACGGTAGGCTGTAACCATCAGCAATCTATCTCGTGAATAAAAAGATTTTAAAATAAGAAAAGCTCTTGACATAGCTTTATGTACGATAAGATTGATATGTTGATTGAATTTGAGATTTTTATCAATGGTAACTCCAAGATCCCTTATACAGTTAACATGGGCAAGTTCATGGTTATTTATATTGTAAACACGCTGGGCTATGTTTTGACTCTGGTTAGCAATGGTACAGACAAATGATTTTTCAGTTGCTATTTGGAGTTGCTAAGCACAACTCCATTCGTACAAACGACTAACAGCTGTGTGAAGGTCTGACTGAAGGCCACGTACATCATAGACTGAATATAATTTAATGTCATCAGCAAAAGGTTTAAGTTTGACATCAAGCTGTTTATTAATGTGGCTCACATCATTTATAAACAATAAGAATAGAGTAGGTTCAAGAACACTCTCCTGTGGAACACCGCTTGTTACAGATATAGCATGAGAAGTAACATTGTTTAAATTTACCACCTGTGATCTCATGTGCAAAAAATTAGTTACCCAATTCAGAAGATTGCCAACTATTCCGTAAGCAGGTAATTTCATTAGTAACTTAGAATGTGAAACTGAATCGAAAGCTTTCTTAAAATCAAAATAAATAATATCTGTTGGAATATTAGTACAGGTGCTACGTTTACAAATAAAACCATGCTGCTCTTTATATATGTTTATATATATATATATATATATATATATATATATATATATATATATATATATATATATATATATATATATATATATATATATATATATATATATATATATATATATATATATATATATATTTGTAAAAATTTTAATAAAAATCACAATATTTTTTATTCTTGACATGCTTCGTAGTCTTACTATATTTTCAAAAGATTTAATTTACAATTTAAACTCTGGTAAATAATTTTAAAAACTGAAGACAATACAGAGAAGAAATTAACGGGCAAATAAATTTGTTACAAACCAATTAAAACTTATATTGCAAATTATGACAAAATAAACTTCCTAATATTAAAGTATCAATAATAATAATAATGTAGTAAGTTAGATAGATAAATTCATAATATAATGAGATGTTTGTTTATTTAAAGAAGGATTTTCCCATTTAATATAAAGTGCTTCTTTTATTTTTAATTTGTTAATGGTAGAGGCAGTATCCAAAACCTGAAAGCAATCATAATTTATTAATTGAACCCTTTTGTCAAACAAAGTTTAATCAATTTTGCATAAACTATAGAGCACCGTATTTATGGAACAAAATTGTTGTTCCAAATTTTGATTTGTCAATTTCGTTTTCCGTTTTTAAAACTAAATTAAAAAACTATATTCTTTCTACTGGCAATATATATAAATATTTTTGAAATGTAAAATTCTTTTTTTTAAGTCTTGATAATTTGTAAAATTATTTTCAGTTTTTGTTTCTTCTACATTGTTATTAGTTATTTGAACAGTTGTATTTTATTTTATTATATATACGTTCACTTTTACAACGAAACATAAAACATAAAATATTATAGACATTGAGTTCGTAAACGTTAAGTGCTTTAACGTTTTTAAATAAAATATTTGAATGAGAAAAACGATTTTCGAAACATATTAAACGCATTGCGTGTTTCTGACGATGGTAAAGATTTCGTAATTTACTTTTAGAAGTACTTCCCCAAACAATATTTGCATAATTTATATAGCTATGAATAAACGAGTAGTAGAGTTGAATTAAATTTTGTTTACTTAGATAGTATCTGACCTTATATAGAATTCCAATACTTTTAGCCAATTTAGTAGAATTATAGTCGATATGATACTTCCATGTAATATTTTCATCAATGTAAATGCCTAAAAATCTTGTGACCGACTCCTTTTTTATTTCAATTTTATCAATAAAAAGTTTAGGCAATTTATTTGGTAAAAAACGCTTTTTAGCAAGAGAGTGGAAAAAAATCCACTTTGTTTTGTCAATGTTTAAAGTTAACTTGTTGCACTTAAACCAGTTGGAGATCTGATTAAGTTTATATATATATATATATATATATATATATATATATATATATATATATATATATATATATATATATATATATATATATATATATATATATATATATATATATATATATATATATATATATACGTCTAGTTTTTTTCCTCAAACATCAGTTTTTTGGAATTCGTATCCTTTATCTTGCTTTCTTGATTCATATAATTTGCAATCTTTTAAGTCGTCTATCAGGATAAAAACTTAATATTTTAACATTTAGTACAGAAAAGTCGCATGACCATTTTAAGTTTAAAATTTTTTTTAAGCAAACGTTCTTTAACAAATTTAATTACTTTTTGTTCACTCTCACTATAATTCACTCACAATTCGCTTTCAGTTTTTTTTCCTATATTATCAAGCCTAAAATTATTTTAACGACATCAATTATCTATCTCTTTTAACTTTCTCTTAATTTTAAATACTTAAGGTTATTTTTATGCACAACTTTGCCTAACATCTTTTTGTGAGAAGGTATAGCGGATTTAATATTTTTATCAATAAGGTGTTTAAACTTAGTTTAATTTCCTTCGACATCCTTTTCAAATGATTTCATTTGTTTTCTATAAAAATTTAGACTTCATTCAAATTATGTAATTTATCATGTTTAAGTTTCATGCTAGCACTTATTCAGCCAAACAACATACAAGGGTACCGTAAGAAACATATACAGACTTGGTTATGGGAACCGTACCTATTAACTAGACGGATCCCAGAGGAAGTTGTTATAGGGCCCCATACGAAAGTCATTAGGGCTACCAGCTTGGAAGCCTATATGGGTTTCAGAGTTTTTTATTTTCGCCCTATCAAAAACACCCTATGGGCACAAGACCGTTTTGCCAACGTTTAGAAAATGTTTAACAGTCATTTGAGCGATCATTGTAATAATAAAAAAGCGAATGGTCATACATAAACTCTCTCTCTCTCTTGATATATGTATATATATGTATATATATATATATATATATATATATATATATATATATATATATATATATATATATATATATATATATATATATATATATATATATATACATATATATATATATATGTATATATACATATATATATATATATATATATATATATATATATATATATATATATATATATATATATATATATATATATATATATATATGTATATATATATATATATATATATATATATATATATATATATATATATATATATATATATATAGTATATATATATATATATATATATATATATACACATATATATATATATATATATATATATATATATATATATATATATATATATATATATATATATATATATATATATATATATATATATATATATATATATATATATATATATATATATATATATATATATATATATATATATATATATTATTTCGATTATCTGAACCATGAATATTGTTTATAGGCTCAGCAGATGGTTCAACATTCTTCCATTTCAGTACGTGATCAAGTCCAATCCATGCAAATATTTCAGCCCCACCAAAACTATTTTCACACAGTTCAATATAAGAGATATAAGAATGAGTAGTAATTTCTTATAAGAGATAAGAAACTACTATTCATTCATTCCTCAAGATTAGATTTTAATTTTTTTAGTTCCAAAATAATGTCTGTTGCGTTTGATTGACTTTTTTCCATATCTTATACAGTTTTATTATAATTATTTAACTGTTTATGCACAAACCAGAAATATAAATCGCCTGTTTTATTTTCAAAAAATGCTTGCAAAGCATGTGAATAATTTTCTTGAGAAATAAAATATGACTTCAGTGCTTTAAACATATACAAAACTCTTTCAACTGCGGGTAACAGAGAAAAAAATCAGTACTTTCATGCTTGATTATTTTTTTATATTCCACATCAACAAAATCCAAAACTCCTTTAACTCAGTTACTTAAACTGTGTAGATATGAAAATACTTATATATTTTAACAACTAAAGCTTCAATTTTAATTGGAAGAGCATCAACAGCGAATTGTGTATGTGCGCAACAACTATTGCCAACAATATTAACACCAAGTTTGAGCCTGTTGTATACATTATTTTTACCTTTTCTAGATATTCCACCAAAATTTGTGTTGCAATTGTCAGAACAAAAAGCAGCAATTTTTTAATTAACTTTATGACGTTGCAATGGTGAAATTAGCTCTTCAGTCAATATTTTAGATGTTTCATTATCGACAGATTCAAAAACCAAAAGTTTTACTTTGACACCATTCAGTGGTAAAAAGTACGAACAACAACTGGTGGTAATTTTACTTTTTTTCTATTTGATGTGTCATTAGAAACACTTTTAAAATGTGTTTTCTGTAAGTCATCATGTAACTCTTTTAAAGATAAAGGTGCCAGAACATTTACAATTATTGCTTGATATTTGGCTCTTGCAGCACCAAATTTTGGTTCAAAAATGTTGAGATTAGTTTTGAACTACAGTTAGATGTTTTAACGCTCAAATCGTGAATTCTTGTGTGAAAGGTAAATATAGCCTCCTTTGCTGTAATTACTAAATCATTGGTTCCATAGTTTAAAAAAATCCTTCAATAGATAAAGAACATCCAACAGCCAAAACTCCTGCTTTGGCACACTTTATCTGGCTTTTAATATCTGCTCGTACACCATGTGCAACGGAAAACTCTGTTGAACAAGGCTGACGAAGCATTTTGTTATCCTCACCACTAAGTTTTTTTACAAATGGGTAATCTTTTTGAAATTTATTTGTAAGTTTGCAACTTCTTTTTGGCATATTTACAAAAAAATTACGGCTTTTTATACACATACGCTAATAAAGTCAATGGATGGCGTTATTTAAGATGATTCAAAATCAGACTTTGAACTTTTGATCAAACGCAGGCCTAAAAAGTAATTGTTAACATTTGTATTACTATCAAAATATTACAATTTTCGTAGCCTTTACTTTATTCAAAATTAAAAAACTTAATTTTGTTTGGGACAAAATGAAAAAATTTCTTTTTTTCCCGAAAACGGGACAAAACAAAAACCGTTGGGACGCTGGGAAAATGGTATAAAACCGGGACAATCTTAGTCAAAACGGGACAAAGTATGGTAAGCCTAAGTATAAATCATGTAAAGCTAAAAGAAAGAGTTATTTAATAAATATGTATTTAGTTTTTAGTTGCTCTGTTATTTTAAGAATACTCATCTTTTGTAGAATAAATTTAAAATTACTCAAATGTACATAATATATACAACATATATAATATATAAAATATAAATTTATGTGTATATATATGTAATATGCATATATATATATATAAACATATATATATATATATATATATATATACATATATATATATATATATATATATATATATATATATATATATATATATATATATATATTTATATATATATATATATATATATATATATATATATATATATATATATATATATATATATATATATATATATATATATATATATATATATATATATATATATATATATATATATATATATATAAACACTCACGTTTATA